CTGCTCAGAAAGAAAGTCAGAGGCTCAGGAGAAAGAGAGGCTGCAGTGGCAACAGGAACCCTGTTCTGCAGGTTCTTCTGGTCCAGAATGAGGATTTTAATCTTTTTCCTAAATGCAATGGGAAGCAACTAAGGAATTTTGAGCAGAGAAGTATTATGCTCATGTCTGGTTTTTTTTTTTTTTTTTTTTAAATCTTTTTGAGAATGAAATAATGCCATTTGCAGCAACATGGATGGATCTAGAGGTTATCATACTAAGTGAAGTAAACTAGACAGAGAAAGACAAATATCATATGATATCGCTTACATGTGGAATCTAAAATAAATAAATAAAGATACAAATGAACTTATTTTCAAAACACAAAGAGACTCACAGACATAGAAAACAAACTGATGGTTACAAAAGGGGAAACGGGGGTGGAGGGAGGGATAAATTAGGAGGTTGGGATTATCATATACATTCTACTATATATAAAATAGGCAACCAACAAGGACCTACTGTATAGCACAGCGAACTCTGCTCAATATTTTGTAATAACCTATAAGGTAAAAGAAACTGAAAAAGAATATATATGTAAATGAATGAATACAGGAATGAATCGCTGTGCTGTACACCTGAAACTAACAAAATACTGTAACTCAACTATCCTTCAATTAAAAAAGAAAACCACCTTTTTGTTGCAATTTGTCTTTGGGCCGGGAGGTACAGATGGGAAAGAGCCGTAAGGAGGTCACTGCAGGAGTCCAGTTGAAAGGTGACTGAGTTTACATCTGTGGTCCTGGAGATGGAGCACATAGCTCTGAGAGACGTTTAGAAGGTAAAACCCATAGGGCTTGAGGTCTCGGAGAGCTTCTCCATGTCTACACCCCATTTTTGAGCTGCTCTCAATTCCTACGGGAGATTTTCCCTGTCGTCTCAATTAAGCCAGACTAATGAGGGATGTGGGGAGCTGAAGTCAAGCCTCCATTAGCTTCCGGAACACGGGGGGCTACAGGGTGCCGAGGAGCGCTAGGCTCTTCAGAATTTGGGTAGGGTGAGCAGGAGAATTGGGGATGCCCTGGAGGTGACTGTGGCGATGCCAGGGGAAGCTGTGGCTGGACACCAAGGGTGACGGTGGTGCAGGGCCTGGCCTTGAAGGCTTTGCATCCTCTGAGCGCAGCTGAGAGCTGGAGATATTTTGGCCAGGAGACACCAGCGTTGCCCTTTAGAAAGCTCACTCCTGCACTAGAGAGGCATCTGCCTGTGCACCTGTGTCCTCTGGCCCGTGGGGTGCTGCACTCCTCACACATGCGTCTTGCCAGGATTTGGGCTGGTGTGGTGTATTAGTGGCCAGCACAGGGTTCACTCCCTCGTCCTCCTCCCTCCCCAGAGAGCCCTGCAAAAGAATTTAGAGCTTGGAAGGGAAGCAGGGAAAAGCTGTCCTCTTGAGAATCGCTCCAACCCCACCAAGACTGGAAAATACATTTCAAGATGCTTCAGAAAGAACACACACACACACACAGGCAAAAATAAGTAGCTCCCACGTTAGCCCAGTACATTTGCAGTTACAGGCAAAGAAGTTGTGTATCAGAGCAATGAGATGACTTCCCCAAGTTCACCGGCCCTGAAATGCCAGAGCTGGGACTAAAACCTAGGTCCGCTGACCCCCGGGCTGCAGCGCCTTGAGATCACCCATCCATCCGCAGATCTATTCCTGCACCCACTTTTCTGTTCAGCACACACGGAACACCTGCCATTTGCTGGCTCCCTCACAACACTCACAGTCTGCAAAGCTGATGTGATCATACCAACTTCTTCAAGTAATTGTGTTTGTAGTCAGAGCCAAGCTCGAATTCCAAGTTTTCCAATTACTGAATGATCTGGGTCTAGTCACTTAATTTTTCTGAGCATCCCTAAAAATGAGAATGAAGAGGACCTATGCTGATGAGAATCTGTGATGATTTAAAAGAGAATATGGGAAGCGCCTGGCCTTGAGAAAATGCTAGCGCAGATCTGTCTTTGACATTGAAAGACCTTTGTCCAAAGCCGAGCGTCCGGGTGAAATACTGAGGTCAACCAGCAGGTGGCAGCCTACCCCGGCTTTAGGAGAGCACATCCTTGCGGATGTGTTGACGGAACGAGGGGCTCCCAGGCTCACAGACACTTTCAGGAAAACACCTTCTCTACTGTCACTCTAATCCCTCTTTTGAGGAGGGGCTGACACCCAGCCCAGGGCAGCAGGGCATGGCAAGCACCTCTTCTGCTCTTTCCTCCCCCTCTGCTACACAAAGCCTCCTGTCAACAACCACAAACCCTCTTGCTTATCACCTCTTACAAATGTACGCTGTGTGGGGAGGGGAGGACAGAGTGGGGACAGTGAAGGAGGGTTTCTGGCCCACGTATCCAGTCCCCACTCAGATTCTGCAAGGACCCCTGGCGAGGACCCCCCTTGCTCCACTGTATTGATGTCCCATCACCACATTCACTTTCGCCTGCTAACCCCGATTGCTGCTTGTGAAGGCCAAGCTCACACATTTTCTCCTGTCCTATGTCTGTTCCTTTGGCTTGTCCCTGGCCCCGCAGCAACAAGACCTCTGTCCTCCTTCCCAATCGCTTCTCTCTGCAGACAGAGTGAGGCACGTCTAGAATTGGGGGCTAGTTCCTATTGCCATGGGTCGCTGTTGTTTTCCTTTCCCTTCACCTCTAAAGCCTGGTTTAGATGCCGATCCCTCCAGATTATCCTGAGCAGCTTGGACAGCATTGAAAATGAAGCCAAGGACCCTCTGTCCCCCAGAGCCATCCTCCTGAAATGCTGAGTTGTGTCATCTCATTCCGCTGCTTAAAGGCCTCCAAAGCTCACCTTCCGGCTTAGAGCAAAGCCAAGGTGTCACAGTGGCCTTTGAAGGCCCGAGTGATCTGTGCCCTGCTGCTTCCCTGACCTCAACCCCTCTCTCATGATGCGCTAACACACTGGCCTCCTGCCGTTCTTCAAACCCAGCAAGCACTCTCCCACTGCAGACCCTTGGCCTGTAGCACTCCGCCACGCCAACCTCCCCCCCCCATGCATGGCTCACTTGTTCATGTTCTCCAGGTGTCCTCCCAATGTCACCTTCTCAATGAGCCTTGCCCTCACCTCCTACGTAAACACACACTCGCATACTCACATGTGCAAAAACACATGCACACATGCCTTCCCATCCCCAGTACTCTTCTTTATTTTTCTCCATAGCACATAATTTCACCGGACAGACATACTACTGGCTTACTTAATTGCGTGTATGTTTTCCAGAAATCAAGCTCCGTGACAACAGGGACTTTAAATGCGTCTCCCCTCTGCTGTATCCCCAGCACCCAGAATGGAGCCTGTTCTGTTTTTCTCAGTCATTACATGTTTACGGAATACATGATCAGACCTGAGAGGAGAGGTCTATTAGCCTCACCTTATTTTTCTATTCAATTCACTGAGTATTGACTTTGTCCCCAGATCATCATTGTAAATGGAAACAAACAAACTCAGAAAAGAAGTAACTTCTGCAAAGTGGCCATGCAGTCAATTTGGATTTACACTCAGTTCCCGTTCACCCACCTCATTGCCTTAACAGGTCAGAAGCTAATGGTGGGATTTAAAGAAACAGGAAAGGAATTGCTCTATCAAGAGCCCCAGACAGCAGCCTCTCCTAGGGAGGGACAGGCTATGGGCGGAGATTGTCTCACAGCCAAGGACGGAGAAATCCAATAGGACATTTAGAGGAAAAAAAACACCATAAGTTTCAGTCATTTCAAAGACAGGGGATAATACGTGCCCAGTGAAAATTACTTCTGCAGGGACTCTCCACACATGTGGTCTCTTGGAGAGCATCCTCCAGTTTTGGACAGAGGTCCTACCACCCCACCACACAGAGAGCCCTCATTTCTCAAGGATTGATGGGAAGTGAGCAAAAGCAGCTGACCGCTCAAGCCTTTTATTTGCAGGCGTTAGCTTTGAAAGGTTACTAAAATAACAGAGAAAAAGAAAGAGAGAAAGGGAATTTTCCAGGTATGGTAGGAACATCACTAAACTGGATTCACATAGCTGTGGGTTCAAAAGCTTCTCCAAAAGGTGCCTCTATTTTCCAGTGCAAAATGAGGCCTGGATTATCCCCAGAGGCATTTAGCTTCTCCGTGTATATATTTCTCCACAATCAAGGTCTTCTAAGCAATTAGCATTAGAGAGAGTAGACCAGGCCCCAGGTGGCAAATGAAATCTGGGAGAGAGGGACATAGCAGACCCAGCTCAGTAGAGGCAGAAGACCACACTCCACCTGGGCACCTTTCAGGTGAGCATCAGAGTCAGGTATGAAAAGGCATCTATCTCCACCCAAAAGCCCAGTTCAGGGTAGCAAAGAGCTTCCAACTCAGTGCAACACAGGGTTAGCTTCAGAGTGGGCTACAAATTCCATGAGGGCATGGACTGTTCTGCTGCGTTCACATCCACAGGACATGGAGCTTGAACACAGTAGCTGCACAATTAATGTTTATTTATTAAGAAGTCAATTTATAATAGCTGCCTGGACGTTACTGGGAAGGACAGTGAGGTCACAACCAGGCCCATTCGAAAAGAAGGGTGCGCTCAATTAATAGACGTTTCATTAATATATTTGTCATTCTTTGAACAGTGCATATTAGACAATCAGGATAGTGGGAAGACGACAATCCCCAGCTCTTTAGAGAGAGAAAAATGGAATAGTAAGCAGGTACATAACCTCTGTCTCAAAATCTCTGAAGGTCTGTCATGGAAAGGAAAGGGCAGATATTCTGTTAGGTGACAGAGGGAAGAACGAGGGTCCAATGGTTAAATCTACACGGCGACAAATGGCACTCAGATAAGAAGAGAAATTGCAGTGACCAAAGCCATCCAGAGAACAGGCAGTCGTAGAAGCAGCGAGCCCCTGATGCTGGAGGGACCCCAGGTCTTGGTAGTGGTTAGACATTAAACAGAGTGGTATAAGTTCCCTTCCATCCTCAAAACAGACTTACTCTGTACCTCTGGTTCAGTCAGTTGTTTCATACAAGGCGTCCAGAATGTAGTTCTACTCCAGGCTTTCAGGCTCCATCCTGAGTCTCTAATACAACACGAGGAAGGGCTGTCAAGAAAGAGGTAAGACAGTGAAGTAAGTCAGAGAGAGAAAAACAAATATCGTATACTAATGCATACATGCGGAATCTAGAACAATGGTACAGATGAACTGGTTTGCAAGGCAGAAATAGAGACACAGATGTAGAGAACAAACGAATGGACGCCAAGGGGGGAAAAGCAGCGGGGGGGGGATGAATTGGGAGAGTGGGATTGACATATATACACTAATACATATAAAATAGATTACTAATAAGAACCTGCCGTATAAAAACTAAATAAAATTTTAAAAAAGAAAGAAAGAGTTAAGACACTACAAAACCCAGATATTGTTCTTAAGAAGAAAGTGGCTGTCTGGGAAGGCAGGAGGGGTGAAGAAAAACCAGAGAGCTGCCTGTCTCTCTGCTCAGACAGAGCCCTTCCTCCGGGGAACACCCTGGGGAGGAGCCATATTTGCAACCTGGCAACACCATGAACCTCCTAAGATTTCTGGGTTTAATTAGTTTCTCCGAAGCAAGCTCCTTACAGAAAAAGAAATATGCAGCCTCAGCCATGACTTGTTGCCAGAGAATCTTACTGCCTTGCCTCCCTGGGCCAGGATTTGCTACAGGAGACTGCTCAAGGCCAAACTGCACTTTCTAAACTTCTCTTAGGAAATTATAGGAGGTTTGCTCAAAGACACAGTCTCCACAAAGGAGATCTTAAGTGTAAAACATATATAATATTATCATTCAGCTCCTTATCTCAGTCACCACTTCATCCTTTCTTCCCCACTTAAGCTAAATACCACAAGCATTCAAATGGAATTTAAAAGGCTTCGTGTACAGCATATGATACACGCTTTTAATACTAAGTCTTGAGATCAATCATAACAAGACCACTGGGCAAGGAGCTAGAAGAGTGCCTCTCCAACCAGACTGCAGGTGTGGAGAGAGCAGGAATCATTCCTTGGCAAACTCTGGCAAGGAAGATAGAGATATGCTCAACCAATGAATGATGGCTTCAAGCTCTGGCTCTGCTGCAGAATTAGCTGTGTGACCTTGGTTAAATTACATAACTTCTCTGAGCCACAAATGCTTTCATCTATAAATAAGAAATAATAATAGCTACCTCGAAGGATTACAACAAATGGAACGATGTCTTTGCAATAATGTGTATGCAATAGCAGAAGCAAGAAGAACTACAATCCTGCAGCCTGTGGAACAAAAACCACATTCACAGACAGAGAGGCAAAATGAAAAGGCAGAGGACTATGTATCAGATGAAGGAACAAAAAAAAACCCAGTAAAACAACTAAATGAAGTGGAGATAGGCAACCTTCCAGAAAAAGAATTCAGAATAATAATAGTGAAGATGATCCAGGACCTCGGAAAAAGAATGGAGGCAAAGATCGAGAAGATGCAAGAAATGTTTAACAAAGACCTAGAAGAATTAAAGAACAAACAAACAGAGATGAACAATACAATAACTGAAATGAAAACTACACTAGAAGGAATCAATAGCAGAATAACTGAGGCAGAAGAACGGATAAGTGACCTGGAAGACAGAATGGTGGAATTCACTGCTGCGGAACAGAATAAAGAAAAAAGAATGAAAAGAAATGAAGACAGCCTAAGAGAACTCTGGAACAACATTAAATGCAGCAACATTCACATTATAGGGGTCGCAGAAGGAGAAGAGAGAGAGAAAGGACCAGAGAAAATATCTGAAAAGATTATAGTCGAAAACTTCCCTAACATGGGAAAGGAAATAGCTACCCAAGTCCAGGAAATGCAGCGAGTCCCATACAGGATAAACCCAAGGAGAAACACACTGAGACACATAGTAATCAAATGGGCAAAAATTAAAGACAAAGAAAAATTATTGAAAGCAGCAAGGGAAAAACGACAAATAACATACAAGGGAACTCCCATAAGGTTAACAGCTGATTTCTCAGCAGAAACTCTACAAGCCAGAAGGGAGTGGCATGATATACTGAAAGTGATGAAAGGGAAGAACCTACAACCAAGATTACTCTACCTGGCAAGGATTTCATTCAGATTCGATGGAGAAATCAAAAGCTTTACAGACAAGCAAAAGCTAAGAGAATTCCGCACCACTAAACCAGCTCTACAACAAATGCTAAAGGAACTTCTCTAAGTGGGAAACACAAGAGAAGAAAAGTACCTACAAAAACAAACCCAAAACAATTAAGAAGATGGTCATAGGAACATACATATTGATAATTACCTTAAACATGAATGGATTAAATGCTCCAACCAAAAGACACAGGCTTGCTGAATGGATACAAAAATAAGACCCATATATATGCTGTCTACAAGAGACCCACTTCAGACCTAGGGACACATACAGACTGAAAGTGAGGGGATGGAAAAAGATATTCCATGCAAATGGAAATCAAAAGAAAGCTGGAGTAGCAATACTCACATCAGATAAAATAGACTTTAAAATGAAGAATGTTACAAGAGACAAGGAAGGACACTACATAATGATCACGGGATCAGTCCAAGAAGAAGATAGAACAATTATAAATATATATGCACCCAACATAGGAGCAGTTCAATACATAAGGCAACTGCTAACAGCTATAAAAGAGGAAATCGACAGTAACACAACAATAGTGGGGGACTTTAACACCTCACTTACACCAATGGACAGATCATCCAAACAGAAAATTAATAAGGAAACAGAAGCTTTAAATGACACAATAGACCAGATAGATTTAATTGATATTTATAGGACATTCCATCCAAAAACAGCAGATTACACTTTCTTCTCAAGTGCACATGGAACATTCTCCAGGATAGATCACATCTTGGGTCACAAATCGAGCCTCAGTAAATTTAAGAAAATTGAAATCGTATCAAGCATCTTTCCTGACCACAATGCTATGAGATTAGAAATGAATCACAGGGGAAAAAAACGTAAAAAACACAAACACATGGAGGCTAGACAATACGTTACTAAATAACCAAGAGATCACTGAAGAAATCAAAGAGGAAATCAAAAAATAACTAGAGACAAATGACAATGAAAACACGACGATCCAAAACCTATGGGATGCAGCAAAAGCAGTTCTAAGAGGGAAGGTTATAGCTATACAAGCCTACCTCAAGAAACAAGAAAAATCTCTAGTAAACAATCTAACATTACACCTAAAGCAACTAGAGAAAGAAGAACAAACAAAACCCAAAGTTAGCAGAAGGAAAGAAATCATAAAGATCAGAACAGAAATAAATGAAAGAGAAACAAAGAAAACAATAGCAAAGATCAATAAAACTAAAAGCTGGTTCTTTGAGAAGATAAACAAAATTGATAAACCATTAGCCAGACTCATCAAGAAAAAGAGGGAGAGGACTCAAATCAATAAAATTAGAAATGAAAAAGGAGAAGTTACAACAGACACCACAGAAATACAAAGCATCCTAAGAGACTACTACAAGCAACTCTATGCCAGTAAAATGGACAACCTGGAAGAAATGGACAAATTCTTAGAAAGGTATAACCTTCCAAGACTGAACCAGGAAGAAAGAGAAAATATGAACAGACCAATCACAGGTAATGAAATTGAAACTGTGATTAAAAATCTTCCAAGAGGGCTTCCCTGGTGGCACAGTGGTTGAGAGTTCGCCTGCCAATGCAGGGGACGTGGGTTCGTGCCCTGGTCCAGGAAGATGCCACATGCCGCGGAGCGGCTGGGCCCGTGAGCCATGGCCGCTGAGCCTGCACGTCCAGAGACTGTGCTCCACAACGGGAGAGGCCACAACAGTAAGAGGCCCGCGTACAACAAAAAAAGAAAAAATCTTCCAAGAAACAAAAGTCCAGGACCAGATGGCTTCACAGGTGAATTCTATCAAACATTTAGAGAAGAGCTAACACCCATCCTTCTCAAACTCTTCCAAAAAATTGCAGAGGGAGGAACTCATTCTATGAGGCCACCATCACCCTGATACCAAAACCAGACAAAGATGCTACAAAAAGAGAAAATTACAGACCAATATCACTGATGAATATAGATGCAAAAATCCTCAACAAAACACTAGCAAAAAGAATCCAACAACACATTAAAAGGATCATACACCACAATCAAGTGGGATTTATACCAGGGATGCAAGGATTCTTCAATATATGCAAATCAATCAATGTGATACACCATATTAACAAACTGAAGAATAAAAACCATATGATCATCTCAATAATTGACAAATTGAAGAATAAAAGCCATATGATAATCTCAATAGATGCAGAAAAAGCTTCTGACAAAATTGAACACCAATTTATGATAAAAACTCTCCAGAAAGTGGGCATAGAGGGAACCTACCTCAACATAATAAAGGCCATATATGACAAACCCACAGCAAACATCAGTCTCAATGGTGAAAAACTAAAAGCATTTCCTCTAAGATCAGGAACGAGACAAGGATGTCCACTCTCACCACTATTATTCAACACAGTTATGGAAGTCATAGCCACAGCAATCAGAGAAGAAATAGAAATAAACGGAATACAAATTGGAAAAGAAGAAGTAAAACTGTCACTGTTTGCAGATGACATGACATTATACACAGAGAATCCTAAAAATGCCACCAGAAAACTACTAGAGCTAATCAATGAATTTGGCAAAGTTGCAGGATACAAAATTAATGCACAGAAATCTCTTGCATTCCTATACACTAATGATGAAAAATCTGAAAGAGAAATTATGGAAACACTCCCATTTACCGTTGCAACAAAAAGAATAAAATACCTAGGAATAAACCTACCTAGGGAAACAAAAGACCCATATGCAGAAAACTATAAGACACTGATGAAAGAAATTAAAGATGATACCAACAGATGGAGAGATATACCATGTTCTTGGATTGGAAGAATCAATATTGCGAAAATGACTATACCACCCAAAGCAATCTACAGATTCAATGCAATCCCTATCAAATTAACAATGGCATTTTTTATGGAACTAGAACAAATCATCTTAAAATTTGTATGGAGACACAAAAGACCCTGAAT